CAAAACACACAGATCAATGGAACAGAATAGAAAATCCATAAATGGACCCACAACCGTATGGTCAACTAATCTTTGACAAAGCAAGAAAGAATATCAATGGAAAAAAGTCTTTTCAACAAATAGTGTAGGGAAAACTGGACAGCCACATGCAGAAGAATGAACATGGACCTCTTTCTTACACCATACACAAAAATAAACTCAAAATGGATAAAAGACCATTTGACCCCAGAACAAAGACCTCTTTTACCTCAGCCACGGCAACTTCTTACTTGACATGTTGCTGAAAGCAAGGGAAATAAAAGCAAACATTAACTATTGAGACTTCATCAAGATAAAAAGCTTCTGCACAGAGAAGGAAACAATCAATGAAACTCAAAAGCAGCCCACAGAATGGGAAAACATATTTGCAAGTGACATATCTGATAAAGGGTTAGTATCCAAAACCTATAAAGAACTTATCAAACTCAACACTCAAAAAACAACCCAGTTAAGAAATGGGGAGAAGACTTGAACATATACCTTTTCAAAAAAGACATCCAGATGGCTAACAGACACATAAAGAAATGCTCAACCATCAAGGAAATACAAATCAAAACTATGATGAGATACCAACTCACAATTATCAGAATAGTTAAAATTAACATTACAAGAAAAAACAGGTGTTGGCAAGGATGCAGAGAAAGAGAACCCTCTTGCACTGTTAGTGGGAACGCAAACTGGGGCAGCAATCCTGGAGAACAGTATGCAGAGTCCTCAAGAAACTAAAAATAGAACTACCTTATGGTCCAGCAATTGCACTATTAGGTATTTACCCAAAGTATACAAAAATACAGATTTGAAGGGGTACATGAACCCCAACATTTATAGAAGTATTATTGACAATAACCCAACTATGGTGAGAGCTCAAATGTCCACTGATTGATGAATTGATAAAGAAGATGTGGTATATATTATACAATGGAATATTACTCAGCCAATAAAAAGAATGAAATCTTGTCATTTGTAATGACATGGATGGAGCTAGAATGTATCATGCTAAGTGAAATAAGTCAACCAGAGAAAGACAAATACCATCTGATTTCATTCATATGTGGAATTTAAAAAACAAGACAGATGAACATATGGGAAAGGGGAGGAAAGAAGAGAGGGGAAACAAACACAAGAGACTCTTAATGATAGAGAAAAGCCATGATAGAACAAACTGTGGGTGGATGGAGAGAGGTGGGTAGGAGATAGGCTGGATGGGTAATGGCTACTAAGGAGGGCACTTGTAATGAACACTGGGTATTGTATGTAAGTGACGAATCACTAAATTCTACTTTGTGAAACCAGTATTATACTGTATGTTAACTAAAATTAAAAAAAAAAGAAAAAAGAAATATGTAATGTAGAGTAGGACTACTGGCAATAGATTTTCACATTCTTTTTTTGAGCAAGTCTATTTTTATTCACTTTTGAGTTTTGGGGGGTATAGAGTGCTATTTTTCTTCCTTCGACACTTTAAAGATGCCATTTTATTGTCTTTTAGTTCACGTAGTTTCAGAAGAAAAGCAGGTTGTATGTTTAAACTTTGTTCTTCTGTGTGTCATGTGTGTTCCCACCTCCACCAACTATGGGCTATTTTTACAATTTTTTCTTTATTTTCAGCAGTTTGAATGTAAGTGTAGTTTTGAGCGTTTATCCTGTTTGATGTTCTTTGATATTCTTGGATATGTAACTTGGTGTCTGTCATTACATTTGATCGATTTTTCGTCATTATTTTTTCAAATGTTTCTTCTGCATTGTTCTATAACTGGGATTTTACTTACATACCTGAGGCTATTTGATATTGTCCCCCAGTTTTTAGTAGTTCTATTTCAGTTTATATACTTATTTTTCTAGTTTGCATGATTTCTTTAGTGCTACAAGTACACTGATTCTTTCTTCAGCAAGTCTAACTATGAGATATTAGGCATTCTTCCTCTCTGTCACTATGCTTCTTATTTGTAGCATTTCCATTTGATTATTTCCTTTTGTTTCCGACAGTATGCTGAATTGCCCATCTGAAACATGTTACCCATGTTTTCCTTCAGAGCTTTTATTTTTTTTTTTAATTTTTAACGTTTATTTATTTTTGAGAGACACAGAATGAGTGGGGGATGGGCAGAGAGAGAAGGAGACACCGAATTTAAGCAGGCTCCAGGCTCTGAGCTGTCAGAGGCTGGCACGGGGCTCGAACCCACAAACTGTGAGATCATGACCTGAGCCGAAGTCAGACGCTTAACCGACTGAGCCACCCAGGCACACCTTCCTTTAGAGCTTTTTATATACTAGTTACAGTTGTCTAAAGTTCCCCATGATGTAGTTTCAACACATATGTCATGTGTGTATCTGGTTGTCTCTTAAGAGAGTGAACAAATCCTCTTGCTCCCTCACTTAATCTATAATTTCCTTTCCCTTCTTTGAAAAAGAATATCCTCCAGTTTGTGGCATTCTAAAGTGGTGCTGCCCAATTAGTAATGACTAGTGGTATGTGACTATTAAGCACTCTAAATATGACTAGTTTGAATTGAGATGTTCTGTAACTATAAAATATAGACTGTTTTTAAAGACTTACCACAAAAAATGAAAAATATCTAATAATTTTATATTGATTTCATGCAGCAATGATAACACTGGTTTACACTGGTTTAATTAAATATATTATTAAAGTAAGTTACCTGTTTCTTTTTACTTTTTAAAAATATAACTATTAGGACATTTAAATTGCATATGTAAAAGGAGAAATAAATAAATGGCAAGATATACCATGTTCATAAACTGGAAGACTCAACATAGCCAAGATGTCAATTCTCCCCAAACTGACATACTGGTTTGATGCAAATTATATCAAAAACCCTAGCAAGTTTTATTATAGCTATATACAAGCTTATTCTAAAACTTATATGAAGAGGCAAAAACTGTAATGGATGAAACAATTTTGTAAAAGAAGAATAAAGTGGGATGAAGCACTCCACCCGATTTTAAGATTGATTATATAGCTACAATAATCAAGACTATGTGACATGGGAGGAGGGATAAATGCCTGGATCAATGGCATAAAATAGAGAACCCAGAAGTAGAATCAGCCATGTATGGACAGCTGATTTTGACAAAATTGCAAAGTAGTTTTGTTGATTGGTTAAAAGTCTAAAAATGCTGGGTCTGGCTTGCCTCATTTTGTTGGGTAGAGGGAAGCAAGACACTCTGTTGCAATGTTGTTCTGTCAGTCTTGATGTCCCTAACAAGTCTGTTTTCCTCTTCCCATCCTATTGGGTTCTCCTTTGATTGTGACTTGCATTATATTACGGATTTACATAACATTTAGAGAGGACATTTACACGTATTTAGAGAGTAAGATCAGGGAGAAATGTGTCTATGCCATCTTGTACTATTTTTGCAACTTCCTATGAATCTGTTATTTTTTTTCAGAATAGAAATCTAAGAAATGTACATGTGAGGCTGACATATCTCTATTAGACTGCACTGTTTCCATTGAATGGTTAATGTAATTCATATCTGAGCCTTTTAAAATTGCTACGGAAATGATTGTCTCCCCCTCCCTCCTTCCTCTGCTTCACTTCTGGCATCTCCTTACAGCGGAATGGAAGGTCTTCAACATAGTTGAAGTTGAAGATCTTATGTCAACATAATTTCTATTTTCTCTGCCATTCTGAAGCTTTCAAATATTTAGGGTCATTTCCTGCTTGTTCATGGCCTAGATCTGCCCTGAGATCAGCCTTTTAGGATGTAATGTTAACTTTGAGGGAAATCTCTTTCCTGCTTGAGGTCTTGAGAAAGTAAGAGCTGGCTCAAGGTTTCTCCCTTATTTTTTTCCAGATGACAGTTTTTGAACAGGTATGCATTTATGTGTTATATATTTTAAAATTGCTCATCTTTAATTGAAATTGAAGTTTAAAATCTTGAGTATTTCTTGCTTCTTTAGTTGTCTCCTCTATAATCTGTTATTTTCATTGTTTTCTAGGGGGTTATAAAAAAGGAGAATAAGGTAAAATTGCCTTTCTCACTTAAATCCTAATTCCTTTTTTGATACTGGATAGCTGGTACTAAACAGACAAAACGCATAGCTAATTGATTGAGTTGTATTATTACTTCAATACTTTTAAGTCCTATCTTTAGTTTTTAAGAGGAGTATACATCAAAGGTATAAAAGCATTGATTTTAGTATTTCCTGTATTCCTCTTGAATTTCTTTCCTGTTTAACAGAGTACTTCCTTTTGTACTTTTTTTCACATGGAATTCATGGATGACAAACTTTCTGAACTATCTTGCATGTATGAGAATTCTTGCTTTACAAGCATATTTTTTGTAATTGTAAAGCCAATGATGTAGAGTGCTGAGACACAAGTTATAAAACTCCAGATTCCAGGTTAAGGACCCATGCTGCATATGAAGTGCTAAACATATAAATCAGAAGACAATATATTTTACTATTTTTCGTTTTATGTTTTTCCAGGTGATGGAGAAGACATAACATGTTTCCTAATCTCTGGAGTGGTTTTTGTGGTAGAGGCTGGGGTAGGAGTAATATGGTCGAAGCACTTGATTTCTGAAGGTTAAGTGGCAGAAGTGTTACATACTTGTTGTTGCCTTTGCCGATTCTACTCTACTCAACACCAGCTGTCTTTTGTCTTTCCCCCGAGATTTTAAGCAAATGAGTCATGTTGGGGTGCCACGAAAAGGGGGCAGAAGATGGCTGCTGGATGGCAGGAAGGGGATAATTGCAGAGTTTAAAGTACAGTAAAACTTTGGTTTGCAAGCATAATTCGTTCTGGAAACATACTTGGAATCCAAAGCACTTGTATATCAAAGAGAATTTCCCCATAAGAAATAATGGAAACTCAGATGATTCGTTCCACAACCCAAAAATATTCATATAAAAATGATTACAATACTGTAATATAATACAATAAAGAAAATACAAAATATAAATAAACTTAAACAAATTAACCTGTTCTTACCTTTGAAAACCTTCGTGGCTGGTGTGAGGGAGACAAGAGAGAGGAAGCCGATTGTGTAGGACGACTTTCACTATCAATAATGGATCCACTGCTATCTATTGGCTCAATGGAATCTTTTTCTTTGTATGTAACTTTAACAAGAAACCTATCCAATGACCTAGAATAAAGCAAAGCATTCCTAAGTTTACTCTTGTATGGAAAAGCAAAGGACTGTCCAAATGTGCTTTGAAGTGACAAAAAAATATACTAGTGTCAGTTGTGGGCACCTTCCAATGTTCTGAAAAAATCACTGATTTCTGCCAAACACTGCGGCCTAAAACTGAGCATCAAGCATGGGGGATGGTCACCCACAATCCTGCAATGAGAGAGAGAGAGAAAAGAACCATTGGCTCAGTTGTGATCAGGTGACATTGGGTGTCACGTACTACTTGTATTGCAAGACATCTCTTGTTTATCAAGTTAAAACTTATTAGAAATGCTTGCTCATCTGGTAGAACACATGCAGAACAAGTTAGTCACAATCCAAGGTTTTACTGGACTTTGTATTTACCGGGAAGTAACATTTGATCTTTGTCTCAGACGGGAGACAACTGTAGGTCCCGCCTCCCGTGGTAGAAGTCTAGATGTAAAATCACCTCATGTGGAGCAGGTGATACTAAACATCAAGGTTTTTGGCCCTGAGCGACAGTGCTGGCTTTGCCTGACTTCAGTGCTGGGGAATTTAGCAAGCACAGTTTTTCAGCAGGCACAAGACGATGGCTGCAGCATTTCAGGGAAATGGCTAGAGCCGGTGGAAACACATTCACAGACTCAGTAAATTTTTAACTTTTATTCCTGCCTAACATGTAGCATACTTTCTGCAAAAATTATGAGTTAAATATAGTTTAATGGAGAAAAGTTATTTAAGATATAATTGTGACAATTTAAAAAACTCCTCTCATGAATGCAGAAGGAAAAGCAGTCAGTAAACAAAACAAAAACGAAAACAAAACAGATGAAGTAAGAACACAATCTCTTCAACCTAGAGATAGTACATCCATTCCTCTTCTTTCCCAGGTGGAAGCTCCCTGGAGTCACTGTTGAGATCAGACTCCACAGTAAAAGGTAATTTTTGTGCTGAGAGCGCACGTCTGATTCATAGAGGCAAGTCTGTGTTCCAGACAGGGCAGCCAAGGTGAAGCAGAGTGTAGTATCCAAGTCTTCTATTGCATTAGGTCTCTGGGACACGTGAGGCCGCTAAGTGAGGCTGTACTTAATTTGCTGAGTCCTTGGACTTCATTTTGGTTTAAAAATGGGTGTTCTCCTTGTCTGTTGTGTTCAGCTGCAAGTATTCCAGACTGCCTTTTTTGTAGCTGGCCACCCGTGTTGGTTTTCGGCTTCTTATCCCCGCCGCCTGTCTTTTCTGCAAAGAGTTGGCAATCATGTCGGAAAATTCGGCTTGCAAGCGCTGCTGATTCTCCCTGGAAAGAGAGTGGGGAGAAAAAATGGCACTTCTCAGCAATTCACACAGAACATTCCTTAGCTCCAGAACAATCAGTTCAGTTGACCCAAAAGAATGCTTATTTTATCGAATTCTTCTTTGGAATGCTTATTCTGCACCAAACACCGGGAGTCCGGAGAATACAGAATGAGCCTTGCTTTTGACAAGTTTAAAAGAGCTGCCATCCCTGCTCTGTGTAATTGGAGAAAGAGCAGAATATATTTTGAGCTGAAAATTATATTTCAATTTCAAACTGAAACAACACGCTGCTTGATTTGGAAGTGCAGTGAGGTTTGCGCAAGCCACCGCAGGGAGGAGAAAAGAAGCCAGGACAATGCAAGGCCCCTGCAACATAAGCCTGAGGACTTGGTCCCACACATCCTGGAGCGCGGCTCTTGTCTGAGGAAGGCTTAGAAGGGATGGTGGGTTTCAAGAGTTTGAAATGGACCTGCGGCCCAGAAAAGATCTGGGTTGTTTTGGCTTCTCTTCAGGCTTGCCGTCTATGTGGGTCCAGCATCTAGGGGTCTGCAAGACAGGGTCTCTGTGCCATAGCAAAAGCCACAGTAACAGCTGTATGACTTATTGCAGCAACGAAACGTGCAACTGGATGGTCATTTGAGTCATCTTCAAGGGAACTGAAACCTGTTCGTTAGACCTGAAACCTCATCTTCCTCCTCTCTGGGAGAACCCAAGCTCCACATGAAAACGCAGAACTGCAGTCCTGGGACTGGAAGAGGGCCCGTTTCCAGCAGCCCAAAAGAGAGCCGTTGGCAGCCGTAGAGATTAGGGTGCCTCTTTGCCCCAGCATGCTCCACTCATGCCCGAACCTGTCATGCAGGAGGTGAGCGGTCAACTACCCTCTGTTCTGAGCATGCCTGAAACACCCCATGTCTGGCAGCCAGAGGGGGAGGTTTCTAAACTTCTCGTGTATGTAGTCCCTGGCCTCTTATTCAATAGATCATTGCCACTAGCCAAGCTTTTTGCCCACAGTGAAATTCCTTGTATGTGGCACAGCTGTCAAAGCCAAGACTTCCACTCGCCTGTCCCCTCCCCACCACACCCACCCCCCAGCAGCTTACACAGTAGGAGGTGTTGGCAGGTTGTACTCCCGGTCCTTCACCCCTGTCAGCCAGTAGGTAGTCTCGGTTCCTCTTCCCTAGGGAGGCAAGCAAGGTGAGTGCCACGGAGGCCAGGGAGACAGGTCAGTTCCAGCCCGCCATTCTGACAAATAGTCATTTCCAAGAGACCTTTCCCTTCCATGTTTCTTATCACTGCCTACATTTCAGCACAGCACATGTTCCCAATGTGATTCTCATCCTCTCTAGACAGATCTTCATTTCCAAGTGCCTTTTTGAAAATAAGCCTCTCACCCCCCAGACATGTTTGTTTTTTCCAAAGAAGAGTTCTCTTTTTTCCCAAAGACATTTCAAAATGTCACTACAGGAACATCGTAAGAAGTCTAAATTAAAAAAGAAGGAAATTGAGGTACAATCCTGCTTCGCCAAGAAATTCAACTGGTTTTCATCACCTACATTTTCTTCTAGCCCTTTTCGCCACAAGATTCTGTCACAAAAACTAGCCCTTTGCTAGTTTCCCCACCTTAAGCTTAAAAAAAATGAAAAATCACTCATCTTTCAAGCCAGTAGTTTGCTGGCTGTGTTTGGACCACAGTAATCTAGATACCGCTTCTACTCGGGTGGCAATGTTCTGTATAGAAAGTGTATTTATGGAGGACTCAAAAAGTAAGTGTGATATTAGGACACGTCTACACGAAAGGAGGCTTTTCCAAGTTGCAGTCACAGTGTAAAGGCCAGAAGCACTGTGGCTCCTGGAGACAGATCATTTTAGAGTTGGTAGTTGGCTTCAGACCAATCGTGAAAAGATTCTAAGGACCTTTGAAAAGTGGCCTGAGAGCCAAGTGGAGACATCTGGTGGCTCTGGAGGGTAGTTGTCCTGAATGTGAGGAACATGGTGGAGAGGAGAGACCGGTGGTTCTCAAACTTTGGTGTACGTCCCGATCACTGAGCACACTCATTAAAAATACAGATTCCTGATCTACATCCACAGAGGGCCTTCCGCAGCAAGCCTGGTGGAGAGTCTGGGCAACTATATTTTAGAAAGCACCCAGATGACACTGGATCAGAAGTCTGGGGACCACAGCTGGTCCACAGCTTCAGAATGGTAAAGCAATCCCTGGAGAGGTGGTTTTAGACAGAAGCAGCATCTTGCAGTGAAAGCCTGGAAGTGAGTGAGGAGATGGGGGCTTTGACTTAAGTTAAATAAGTCCTGTCCCACACCTTAGCTCTCGGCTTTGCAGGAGGACTTGGGGACAAAACTTGGATGCATGTGGAAGAAATGATGGTGACATTTTATAACATATTGGCCCTAGTTCAAAATATTTAAAGGGTCTGAGTTCACATTCTTTGGTGGTGGCTTCTCCTACAGGGGATCATGAGTGATCACTCTGGGGAGGGCAGAAAAGGATTCTTCATCTTCATTGAAGATGACATTATTGACCACTGGATGTCCATTCTCCAAGGAGGTGGGCCAAAGTGAGTGCTTTTTCTGGGTCTTCTGCCTGCGGATCCCTTACCTTTAAATATGTTTCCCCTCTCACTTCATATAGGAACTGGCATTCAGTTCTCTTCAGGATGGCTATTGTGGAGCCGCTCACATGAATTCTCAAGGCTGGAAATGCAAAACAGATCAATGAAAATCTCAACCATTTTAAAGAATATTATACAAACACATTTGTTTCCACTTGATTCAGGACATTTGTTACAGATGTTCTTGACAACTGAGATGGTTTAGTGAAAGAACACTTAAAAATACAATCAGTGAGATAAATATCACACATGGGATGAAAGAGGGTCTGGCACTGCTTTTTGGGGTGCTGAGTGACAGGGTTCCTCAGGTTGTGCTCCACAGGTTCTCACTCTAGCACAGAGCGGTAGCCCCTGCACCTTGTCTTGGGTTTGGTTTGTGGTATGGAACTTGACAGCTGGAATTTGGTTTTGGGTCCCTGTGTATAAGTTCTAATAAGCAGCTTAAGTGTGGGCAGCAAGGTAGAGACTCAGGAGGGAGTTAGAGGGTCATGATTTTAACTTTTACCCTTTGAGGATACTATTATCCTTCTCATAAATAGTTGGTGAAGACATTCCCCGTTGTGGTCCACCATTGGTGCAGCACTTTCCCTCAATGGGTGCCACAGACAATGACAATAGTACGAATAATCGCAATCCTATGTTGTCTGCCATGTATCAGAGGCTTAGCATATATCACATCAACTCCTTCCAGAAACCCTTCCAGCAAGCTTGGTATCCCATCCTCAATTTATTTCTTCAGCCTTCCGATGCCTAGAAAGATGAGGTAGATTCCTCCCCAGCTTAGATAGTGACTTCTGTCGTTATAATTATAACCAAATCCGTCTGGCCCCAACCTTATTCCTTCCTTTACACCATGATTTTCTAGTACAAATCAGTAGCAGGCTGTCGGTAGACTACCAAAATACCACTCTACCACCTGTGTTTTTGTAAGCTCCGCCCACGCCTATCAAAGCTTTCTTTCTC